ACAGAGTAACCATTATTCTTTCAGAAGGAGAGAAGAAATCTAGGGTAATTAGACAGGGGAGGGGGAGATGGAGGGGGTTAGGGAGAGGTTGGACAATGGGCATAAAGAATAATTACAATTTGTAACAATATACATGCTAGTAATATTGATTTGAACATTTCTCAATGTTGAACCCTCAAAATATGTATAATTAATTTTGATTCAATAAAAATTTTTTAAAAAGTAAATCATGTTTTATGACAATATTGTCAAAATGAAATATGAACATTTTCTTTGTCTATATAAAGCAAATGAAAGTTATGGATAATTTTTGATAAAGTGAATTATGAAAAACATCATTATATTTTTATATTTGGCTTTGGGACATAAGGCAATCGAAAACTTATGTGGGAGGTGGTACATGAGCGCGCACACACACAGATACTCAAACACTCTTCTCTGCCTCATTCTTATTCCTTTCAGAGATCAGCTCATAATATCAGTAATCCCCTGTTAAAATAATATAAGACTTTATCCCCAAAATTCTGCTAGGAAAACATTATTAATATGTGTTTCTAATCAAATATTTCTGGAAATGTTTACAAATCCCTTAAATCCAGCAATAATAGCATAATAGTATGTTGTTGGGAAAAAAATGCCCATCCAAAGTAGAAAAATTACCAGTTAAAAATCACAGTACATCAAAAAATATTTTTCAGTGGTAATTTCCATTTACCTGATAGGTTTTTCCATTAAAAAATTATAAAATATTTTAAAAGAGAAAACACAATATTCAAATAATATGTTTCAGTTTCTTTAGTTTTACAATCAAGGGGTTGGACTAGATGCTAATTTTTTTTCAGCTCTAATATACTATGATTTTAGTCAACATAAGATGTTAAAATATGTCCCACTGGTTCATTCGATGGTAATAGAAAAAAGGTGGCTGAAAAATTGTGAAGCCTGACAATATAACTCTTTAAATCAAGAAACAACAATGGCAAATCCCAGGGAAAGAAAGTGACTAAGCCCAAAATTGCTTGCTTATCGAATGTTTTGCTTTGTTTTGTTTTATTAGTCTCCAGAGTCCGCGTCCCCCACCCCTGGAAATTTTGCTTTAGTAATTATGGGGTGAGATCAGGAATTTCATTTTTTAAAAGAGATCCTCAATATTCTGATTTGTAGGTAAAGGTAGAAACCACAGATCATACCCAACTATTCAGGATACAGAGGTGGAGAAGAACAGGTGTGTCTTCACCGTCCTTGGGCAGGCTCTCCATGGTCACACAGCAGCATTTTCCTAACAGGTCCACTGTTTTATGACTCAGGGTACCACCTTCCCAGTGTTCTCTCCCCTCTAGTTGTAAAGCATATTTTGAGAGTGATATCACTCGGTGTCTAGGTTACTTTTCCTGTGGAAAAGGATATTACTGAAGGAAACAAGAATTAAAAGAGTGGATCTATAGCTCTTACTTACCATGTGATCCAGACTCACATTCTAGAAGTTTAATCCAGCTTAACTTCTGATACTCTCCTTAATGTGAAGTATGAATCTAGCCATCACCATGCAACAGTCTTGAGCCTTTTAAGGCAGTCTACGATTTGAAAATTATTTACTTTACTTCAGGTCATGGTTCATAATGAAGTGAATTTCTTTAACTGATTAGAATAAATCCTAAGAAGAAGGCTCTTTGAATAAGTTTGGCATAATAATTTCTTAATCTTTTTTGGTAGTAAAAGAAAAGCTTAAATAGAATTCACATCTAATAGCATAACATAATTGGTTTTATATAAAGAGAGTGAAGAGCAAAGTTGCTTTTAAGATCTTCCATGTAGAATTCCAGGCACCTCAACGTTCACATGTCTGTCAGTCTCAATATAGATTTTATGTGTTCACAGTATGCAAACTGTAGCCAAAATATATATTTTTGTTCCTTATGCTACTACGGATGCCAAAGTTTAGTTTAAGGCTTTTTTTTTTTTGTAGCACACTATTAGAAATATATAATAATTCAATTCTCAATGAAATGTTATTCCTGATCTTCCTTGTTAATAAAAAATGAATTAATCTTTTATCTACTAATTTTAGGGAAAAGTTTAGAAAAAGAAAAAATGAATGACTTACCTCTAAATAAGTGTGACTCCAGATAAACCAGCTAAACTAAAAGCTTACCACAATTTTAACAAAAAGTAAAATTCAACATAATTTCTTTGTGCATCCCATTTAAGGAATGCTTGTTACTGAGGCTGACAAAATAAATTCATTATTCAGTCATGTCATTTATAAGGCAGTCTCATGATATTGGCTCTGAGGATCAAGTATACAGTTAAAGCCATACTAGACTACCAAATGATATATAAAAGCATTTATAAACATTTTATGCTTACTTTAGAAGGCTGATCTGTTAAACTTATGACATTTTTATTTAAAAAAATAAACAGGGAGATCAATAGTATTAGTTTATATGGGTTAAGAAACTGTTTACGAGTTGTATTTAGAAATCTACCAATGTTAGATATGTGTATAATTCCTGTTTTTCAATGCATTTGGGATCTAAGGAAGTGGTTAATTAATATATGTACCTCAAATGCCTTAGGTGGATACCTATTAAAAGGTATACAAAATATAAATAGTGCTGTATATTTTCAAAACTTCTAAATAAACACAAAGAATATATAGGTATACATGTTATAATTTCAAAGTCAACACTAGCACATAAGTTTTTCTTATCTAAATACATACTAGGATACTTCCTATTTCAACACATGCACCTACAGACACATGGCCATGCACATAACTTTGCTTTGTGCCACTTGCAAGGAAGTTAGAATATACAATATTGTACATTGTTTCAACCCAAATCATAATGGAACATTAATGAGGATGACATTAAAACTTTCTCATCTAAAAAATCAAAATACAGGAAGATAATTATTCCACAGATTAAAAACACTGAAGACTGTTGGAAAGTTAAGGTTTAAATCACTCATCCCAGGGATCTTGAAAGATACAGAAGAGAGCGGGACTGGTTGTAAACACTCTGAATGTTCTGTTTGGCAACTGAGACTAGAGCTTTTGTAATCTGACAATTCAGGCCAGAGACTTAGACAATAGATGCTTCGGATTGCAGAGAAATGGTACGGCTGTGGGCAGTTCTCCGCAAGGCGGGGGGCGCCGATGGTGATCTGGATGCCCATCTAGATGGGAGACGGCGATTTGCTGGTCTAGCAGGTCGGGAAAATCCTCTCCCATGTGAGGCTTTTACTGCAGTGGATTCCTAGGAAACAAATGAAGACATTCCTCTCACTATACAGGCACCGACAATGGTCTTAATAGATTATGGATCCCATCTGTGGGATTAAGTACTGGCAAATTCGCAAGTAAGAAAAAGCATTGAAAACTTAAAAAAAAAAAAAAAGTATTTGTCTAATATTTGTGGTCTTCAATGTTTTAATCAAAGCATTCAATTTTAATACGGAATATGACACTTGAAAATCTTGTAAATCTCACATGGACACATTTTAATACAATTGATCTCTATAGAACTAACTGTGAGCTCAGGACTCAAAAATTCAAGTTAAACAATTTCAATATGGGGGAACTACAGTTGTTTCTTAGTGAGATATTAGAATGTTTTAGCGTTATTTAAAAATATTAAGATAGGGACTGGCCCGCAGCTCACTTGAGAGAGTGTGGTGCTGATAACACCAAGGCCACGGGTTCGGATCCTATATAGGGATGGCTGGATAGCTCATTTGGGAGAGCGTGGTGCTGACAACACAAGTCAAGGGTTAAGATCCCCTTACCGGTCATCTTTTAAAAAATAAAAAATAAATAAATAAATAAATAAAAATATAAACATAATTTCTAAGAGAAACTATTCATTTGTGTCAGGTTACTAACACTTTTAGAGGTCATACAAAAGGGACACAAGCCACATTATTTATCTAATGCTATTTTTTTCACTAATAAGCACTATTACTACCTTTCAAAAGTTTAAAAACTATTAAAATACTTTCAAATACAACTATTCCAAATGCTAATAAAGAGTTATTATCTGTGACATTATGATATTTATATTTTGGGTTTCGTCCATGGTTCTGTCTCATGCTACTCTCTGACCTGCCCTCCTTTCACCTGCTCCTTTTTCTCTCCATGGCAGGAAATTCTCTGACCTACCTTAGCTGATTATATGTCATAAGACCCACATTTCAGAAAGGACCCTGTCCCATGCCCGGAGGAAGGAATGCTGCACAGAGAAGCCAAAAAAAAACCTGAACAGGCCCTGTTGAGTTTTCCCGCCCCCTCTGTTAGTGTCAGATTATACCCTTTTTGTCCAATCACATTTGTCCATGCTCCAATCATGCTTTCATAAAAACCCAAGAGCACAGGGTTTGGGGAGATTCTGGACAGCTAAACACATGGAGGTTCTTGCAGGGTGGCGTGCCCAGGGAGGGCATGAAAAGCTCTACACCCTTTCTCCCATGTCTCGTCCTATGCATCTCTTCTTCTGCATCCTTTGTGATATCCTTTATAATAAACTGGTAAACATTAAGCACCTGTTTCCCTGAGTTCTCTGAGCCATTCAAGCAAACTAATTGAACCCAAGGAAAGGATTGTGGGAATCCCGATTTATAGCTGATTAGTCAGAAGTTCCCAAGGCCAGGACTTGCAACTGGCTTCTGGAGTGAGGACAGTTTGAGGACTGAACCCTCACCCTGTGGAACCTGATGCTATCTCTTGGTAGATAGTGTTGGAATTGAATGAGACACCTGGCTGGTGACTGCTGGAGAACTGCTTGCTTGCTTGCTGGTGGAGAGAAACCCCCCCACATTTGGTCACAGAAGTCAGAAGTCAGTCTTCTGTGTTGTTGATTGTGCTGTGAGAGCAGAGGAAAGACTGTGTTTTTTCCCCCTCACTCACTATCTATATTGGGCATCTTCTGATGAGTGAAAACCTTTTCCTTCTCTTTCATTTTCTTCTATCTTTCTTTTTATTTCAATGGAAGAAAAGCATCCTTTGATCATTGTAATTTGAAAAAAATTAAAAGCTTTCATGACACACTTTAGGCCCTTGGTTCTTACCTTCTTAACAAAGCTTGTACTCTTTGATCTGAGATGGGCGGTGAGGACGGCCTCTGTTTCTACTGTTTTAGTCATGGTCTGACAATATCCTGTATTTTCTTTTTTTCTCTCTTTGGAGACACTTTTTAGAATTGCTAACAGGGGGAAAACAAAACAAACCAAAAACAAAACAAAAACCTACTCCTTAGGATCTACAGTAGAGGGCTCCCCTCCTAAACCCCCAATCAATGCAAAAAGGGGAAACATTTAGTACTTTTTCTTATTAGTTAGTGAGAATTTTGGTTGGTTATTGTACACATGTTTCCATATCCCATCTCCAGCTACAGGACCTTCCAGGCATTTATGAGCTCAACTAAAAAGCAGAGAAATACTAAAGCAGGATAATTATTTGTACCTTGTGAAAACTGGCAAGGTTTCTGATAAAATGGGTGAAAACTGATGTTGCAGGGTTTGAAAGCCACATAAAAATAACTTTTTTACACCAGAAGGAGGCAACCTGCATAGCTTTAAACCATGCTTAAAACCATATACACTACATTATGTAAAACTAGGATTTTTGAAGCATTGGTGAATAATAACAATATGTCACTTTGTAACTTTTTGTAAGTTATGTTCTTTAAAAATTATATGCATATAAGAGACTGTTGTATAACTGCTCATTGTAAATACCAATTTGTTTGACCACTTTTTCTCCTGTAACTGACAAAGACTAACTTACACTCTTATAAACAAACAGAAACAAACAAACAAAAAGGATAAGTTTATTTAAATAGCCATTTTGGGGCAACTTCTATGCTAAGAGTATACGCAAATAGAATAACTGTGTTTCCATATACTGATTTTTAGTTTCACAGATAAGAGAATCTACATGGTTCTATTACTGTTTTAAAAGATGTGTTTTTTTTTTTTTTTTTTTTTAAGATGGCGATGGGTCTGGAGCGACCGTGCCAGGAGACAGCATGACCCTGAGAAGTGTGCGCTGTGATACCAGAATACTATTTGCATTTCCAAGAGCAACAAAAAACGAATAAATCTTTGAACAACGAACCTACATCGACAAACAAGCAACAACATGTTCAAGGTTTTAGGGCCGACACAAAAGAAGACTCCCGAGAGCGCCCAAGCCCTGCTGCGGGTTCGAGCGAGCAGCCCGAGACAACAAAGGCCAAGTAAGTCAGCAGAGACGACACAGAAACGGAGTGGAAGGCGCCGGACCGGCCCAACTCTGCGAGCTCTGGGAGTCACCCCCAGTCCAGCCCCACTTGTGGGGCGAAGCCCAACTGCTCCCCACCCGCCTGGCTCCCACCTACCACACCAGGCTAGGTGACTGCAACAGAGCTGCCTCCATTTTCTCGGGTGGGGGCGGAGACAGCCGGCTCAGATCAGGCAGGCCAGCCATCTCTGCTTGGCACGGCTCCTCACTGAGACGTGCCATTTGCTTACCTCGACGTGGGGCACCCCGGGGCCTGTGGACCGGCCTACAATCCCACTCTCTCTGCAGATCTCTGATGGGGCTGGTAGCGTGGGGAGCCCCTGGCCAGCATCGGGAGGGCAGGGAAGAGGAGCCCGCCCAGATGTCTCCCCCCCACCCCCTGGGCTTCGGCCCCAGGTAAACTCCCTGTTTCTGGGAGGCAGATTCGATCTTTGGGATCCTCAGTTTGGAAGAACCCCTAACTGATTTCTGGTGGG